ACAAAACACCATAATCTTGCCAGTTGCTTTTAATAGTGAGCTACAATCCCCTTTTTATATTCTGAGACAGGATCTCGCTAAATTGCCCATGCTGGTTTTCAATTTGCAATTCTAGTAGCTGAGATTACAGGCATGCAGCACGGCTCAGATGAGGTTTTGTTTTTTGGGGTTTCTTTGAGATGGGGTCGCACTATGTAGCTCAGGCTGGCCTTGAACTCACAGGGATCCTCCTGCCTCAGCCTCTCAAGTGCTGGAATTATAGGCGTGTGCCACCACTCCTGGCTACTCAGATGAGTTTTCAATAATCTCAGGAGGAGTTTACAATTTCCTTCTTTCCTTCCTTCCTTCCTTCCCTCCCTCCTCCTCTTCCTTCCTTCCTTCCCTCCTCCTCTTCCTTCCTTCCTTCCCTCCTCCTCTTCCTTCCTTCCTTCCCTCCTTCCCTTCTTCCTTCCCTCCCTCCTTCTCTTCCTTCCTTCCTCCCTCCTTCTTCTTCCTTCCTTCCTCCCTCCTCCCTCCCTCCCTCCACTCTCTCTTCCTTTCTTTTTCCAGCACTGGGGTTGAAGCCAGGGCCTTCACACTGAGCTCCACCCCGAGCCTTTTTAATTATATATTTTGAGGCAAGGTCTTGCTAGTTGCTAAGTAATCCTGAGCCTTGTAGTCCAGGCTGGTCTTGAACTCACTATGTAGCCCAGGCCCAGGATGGCCTCAAACTCATGGTGATCGTCCTGCCTCAGCCTCCCGAGTTTGGGGATTAAGGTGCTTGCCACCATGCCTGGCAAGAGTGTGCTTCCCCACCCCAGGCTCCTGCCTCAGCCTCCTGGGGTGCCAGGGTTACAGGCGGGCACCACCACATTTGACTTCCCTTTTCTCTTCCAAAGGCTCAAGGCGCACACAATCTTCCGAGCACTGATTTCTAATTTTCACCAGGGATTCAGAGAAAATTCAGCGGCTCTGCGGTTTCTCTCTCACCCCTTTCTGGGATCCTCACATTGATTTAATTCAGTGTCAAGGTCTCTCCAGAGAGGAGGGCGGCGGGGGCCGGTGTGGAGGGATGGTGCACGGCTGGGTGCGGGGACGGAAGGGGCCCTGTTGTCACCTTTCTGGGGCCCTTTGCAGGGTGTGTATACAGCTGCTACTTCAGGAAACATGGCCAAGTTTGCCCTGAATCAGAACCTGCCTGGTGAGTGTGCAAAACCAGATATGTGTGTGTGCACAGCCCCCTAGTTGGTGCCTCTGTTGTGTGTGTGCGTGTGCATGTGTGGATGGCCAGATGACCCTTTCCAAAGGTCCTCTGAAGAATCTCACGGCCCTGCTTAAAACACCAACTCCCCATGGTGGCCTTTAAGACTCCACAGCTGGACCTGACCCCTTCTTTCCACGCCCTTCCCTGTCTCTCCCCTCACCCTGCTGGGGACACCTGGCCTCCATCCTGCCTTCTGCAGCTCACCTCACCCACCCTCGCCACGGGGGCTCCGCAGGGGCTGCTGTCACAGGTCCTGTCCGCAGCTGCTTCCTTCTCACTGTACAGGGCTCAATTTGTAACTGCCAAAGTCTCCTGCCGGACGTGGTGGCGCACGCCTGTAATCCCAGCACTCAGGAGGCTGAGGCAGGAAGATTGTTTTGAGTTTGAGACCAGCCTGGGCTACAAAGTGAGCTCAAGGCCAGCCTGAACTGCATAGCGAGACCCTGTCTCCAAAAGAAAAGTCTCGCCCTGTCCTGTGATTCTCTATTTGCTTTTATGGCCCTAAGCATCATTTGGAATGATGGTATTTATCTGTCTCCTGAAGAGGTCAGGGATGTCTGTTTTGTTCCCTGCTGTGTCCCCGGGGTCTGCAAAACTGCTTGGAACCCAGCAAGGGCTCAGTAAGCGCGTGGCCGCGCAATTACCTGGGGGCAGATAGGTGCGCAAGCCTCGGGTGCGGCCGTGCGCGCCAAGGCAGGTGTGCCCGGCTTCGCGGAGCCATGCAGGTGCCTGGTGGGGCTGTGCGGGGGTTGCTTACAGCTGTCCCCTCTCTCCGGGGTCTCGATGGCCTGATGACCCCACTGCCCGACATGCCCGCAGATCTGGGCGGCTCTCGCCTGTGTCCAGCCCCTATCGGGGCCTCGCACAGCCTGAGCTCGCCCTACTCCGTGGAGACGCCCTACGGCTTCCACCTGGACCTGGACTTTCTCAAGTACGTGGAGGAGCTGGAGCGCGGCGGCCC